CCATCCACAGTCCATCCACCCTCCATCCATCCACCCATCCACCCATCCACCCACCCTCCATCACCCACCCTCCCTCCATCCACCCATCCACACTCTGATCACCCCAGGGGCCAGGCCTTGCACTCTTTGCTGGGACCCAACGTTACTGGGGCGAGGGGACACTCTGGCAGAGGACATGTCTGTGCGGGGCAACCTGAGTGTTTCAGCTGGGCCTAGCACGTGATGGAGCCCAGAAGCATTTCTGGAGTAGCGCCCTCCTGAGCTGKTCCTGGCACTGATGTGACCATCGGCGACGTGACCTTGAGATGAGAAAGTGGCTGGGGCTTGGGGGTTGGTACAGGAACCTGCGGCCCCAAGGACGGCATTTGGCCAGAAGAGGGTGGCAGGTGTCCACAGAGGAGGCATTTCTGGATGGGGGAAGGGCTCAGCCATGTGGCAGGGGTGCGAGGGAACTGGACTCAGGCCAGTGGGTCAGGGMAGGCCGGCCGAGGGGACGGCGCTCTCCAACGGGATTGGACAGGGGAGTTCTACAAGCCACAGGGTCCCAGACAAATGCCAGATGTTACACTAAAAATAACCAAATATGTCATTTTGTGCTGGATCAGATAGCGTCTTCGGGAGGCAAGTTGCCTCAAGTCGTCAAGCCTTAAACACACACGGGGGCTGGGGAGCTGGGAGGAGGGACATTCCGTCCACAGAGGTTCCCGGGCCCTGGGGTTTGGGACAAGGCCACCATTGTGAGGTTCTCAAGGAAGCCTCTCCGCCCACCACCTGCACAAGGATCAGCAGTGGGGGGGCCAGCAGGGTGGTTGGGGGGATGGGGAGAGGCGGAGGTGGGTGCCAGGTGAGAGGCCGTGCCAGCCTGGGCGTGGACGGGGCAGGGGCAAGGCTTCCTGGGGAGCCCGGGACCAGGAGCGGAGATCCCCTGCACAGAGAGGGCCTGGAGAGTGGACGGAGGCCCTGGACAGCCACCACAGAACAGAGGGTCCCTCAGTGGGTCCCAGAGAGGGCTCCGTGGACCAGCGGCTCAGCACCGTCTCCACTCTGGAGGGCTCGGGGGASGTCAGCCTGACACACCGGGGAAGGCGCCCGGTATGCCGCAGGGCCTGGCTCTGTGCAGCCGGCCACTCCGCGGCCCACTTATTGGCCCAGGAGAGGCTGGGAGGAGGCCAAATGCCTCCACGGCCCGCCCAGGCCATGGCATCTCTCAGAGAGCAATTCCCCAAGGCTGAGCCTTAACCCCGGCCAGGTGGGGTGACCGGCGGCAGGGGCAGGCTCAGAGGACACCCTTCCTCCCCCACGCTCTCAGCCACCTGCCAAGGATGGAGGTCAAGATTCTCCAGAAAGTGGGAGGGGAGGAGGGGAGGAGGGGAGGCGCAGCTTCCGTTGCGGCCAGGCTGGCCGGCTCGCCGGGCACACTCGAGGGCCCCTGAGGCCCTGCGCGTCACGTGGTCCCCGACCTCCCTGGTCCCACACGGCCCGCCACGCTCCGCCTCAACTCACTTTTCGGTCATTCGGCTGGACATTGTCCCCTTCATAGTCCCCCTGTAAGAGAGAGGAGGGAGTCTCACCACGAGGCACAGGCTGAGGTCACACTTGCCAAATTTCAAAACAGAACTCCTGTGACCCTCGCCGACACCCGTCGAGGGCGTCCTGGGCGGTGTCCCTCTGCGGGAAGGAGTGCAGCCGGCCAGCCTCCGGCACCGGGACCCCGTGAGCCTCCCGAGGGCAGCACTAGTGCCATGTCCCTGCCTTGGACCTGGCAGCACAAGAGAACGGGGGCTCTGGGGACAGAGAATGGCATCAACAGGTGACGGTGTCCTGCCTGCTGGAAGACCCCCTTCCTCTCCCACAACCCCAGGGGGACAAGTGACATGTGCCCCGTCACCTACACCAGGGAGCCCAGCACGTCCATTTCACAGAGGTCCACCAGGGGTCCCCTGGGACTCACATCCAGGCCCCCAATTCCGGGAAGAGAAGGTCTAGAAGTCGAGAGTGAGCCCCAAGGTCAACGGCTGAGCCCCAAGGTCAGCGGCAGATACAGTAGCTAAGGGGAGCCAGAGGGAGGCCCTAGGCGGCCGGGGGCGCGGCCAGCCTCCTGTCCCTCCCTGACCAGCCACTGTGGCGACCTCTGCCACCCCCGGCCAGGTGGGAAGACGAGGTCATGTGCCCAGGCCAGCAGCCCAGCTCGGGGGTCCTTAAGTGAAACAGAGAGGGTGCGCCAGGCCCCCTGGCCCCGCGCTCCGCCCCTCCTGGCCACTCCTCCCTGGGCGTTTCCCCGGCCTCCTCTCCATGAATGAGCTGGCCCGGGGGTTCCAGGAGTTCACCAGAGGCCCGTGCTGTGACCTCCAGGCAGGCAGCTGCCAACCAGGAAGGAAGCCAAAGCCACCAAGCAGCCAACGTAAATGTCAGCGTCCCTGGGTTCAGTGACACACTCGGTTCCAGGAGACTTCCCCAGGGTCTCTGGGCCCCGTGACTGTCACTCGACGCCAGCCCTGCACCTGGCTGAACTGCCTGGGAACGGACCGGCCCCGGCGGGAGAGTCCACGGAGCGGGTGGATGAATGGGCCCACACAGGGAGCCCAGCAGAGCGGGCGAGGACACTGTGGGCAGGCCCACAGGCAGCGAGCCAGCCCCCCTGTGGGACAACTTCCTGGGGAGGCAGAAGGATCTGGAAACCACAGGCCAGGCCCGAGCTGGCTTCCCTTCCTGCCGCAGTCTGAGCACCCCGTCCACGCTCTGCCTGAGGGCGGGGTCTACGTGGCTCAGGGCAGGACGAGTGGCCTCCCCAGAGGGGGCCAGCACTGGAGCTGACGGGTGGGTGCTTCCAGTCGCAGGGAAYGTTCCTCGCTCCCTAAGGATGCTGGCGCCACGGTCCGGAGCTTCCTGGCTGTGGGCCCCTGGCAGGTTGCTGGGCGTGGCGAGCCTCAGTTTCCCTGTCTGCAGAGTGGGGTCAGACCCCACCAATGGTGCCCTGTGTCTGGTGTGATGTGACAGTGACTGCAAGCAGGGGCTCCTTGTCCCCGTGTGGGCTCGGAGGTGCTCTCTGAGGGCTGGCCTCTGTCAACAGGCCTGGTGGCCGAAGCCTTGTGCAGGTCTTGAAGACTGCACGTGGGATCCGTCCCCAGGGCAAACGCAGGACTGAAGACCAGAGAGATGGGCCACTTAGCCTCCAGCGAAGGAAGAGGGCATGGTACTTCCAGGGGACACAGTAGCAAAGGCTTTTGTCCCCATGTCACCCAGAGCAGCTGTGTGGCCTCGAGCAAACTGCTAGACCTCACTGAGTCTGTCCGCAACAGATCAGAGGAGATAAAGTCGCTAGGACCCACAGCAGTTCTCAGAAATGTCGACCTCTCCCCTTTCCTTTTTAAAGACTTGGGGTTTACGCAMAGCAGGCAGGAGGCCTGAGCATTCGGCTCCCGTGTCCCGGCTTCTGGCCAGGGCTGACCAGCTGAAAGGCCGAGGGGCTGGCCTGGCAGGGCTGCATCCCATGGGCCAGCTGGACCCTGCAGAGCATGGGGCTCACCAGCTGAACAGGACCCCCCCGCCCACCCCGGGTCCGTGAGGTCCGAGCCCTGCCCTCAGAACCTCTGGAGAGCACCAGGCCTTCACTAAGGCAGCCCGACTCAGCCACTCCAAAGCCACACCACGTTTACTGAGCACTTACTAAGTGCCGTGTGCTGAGGCTTCCTGAGTCAGGAACCCAACAAAGTGGCCGGGCCATGGTGTCTTTGTGGGACAAGGGACATCAGAAGCCCAGGGGGAGGAAGATATCAGCCGTGCCAGGAGAAAAGAAAAGGGAGGCTTGGTGTGGACCCTCTGTCTGCTGTGGAGGGGAGCAGGGAAAGGCATGGCGAGTAGGTGGAACAGCATGTGCATAAGGTGGGGAGCTGGGTCAGGGGCCCCAGGTCCTGGCCTGCCGTGCAGAGCAGGGCCTGGGGGCGGGGGGGGGCATGGGCAGCAGGTCAGCCGAGTGTCTCTCCTGCCCTGACCCATCCGCTGGGCATGCTGTCCTGCACTATTCCGGCACCTGTGGGCGTCCCAGCCGGTGTCTCATCCTCAAAGCCCTCTGGTACCTGTCCCGGTTCTGATGCCCACTGTGCCCTGGCCACCAGACCTCAAGGCTCCTGGACACCTCRGGGCTGACCTCACTCAAGGCCAATGAGAGTGAGTGGCCAGGACGGGGATCCGGCCTCCTGACTCCCAGGCCCATCCTCCTTCCTCCTGCTTCTGGGCTCTGGGCCTCACCCTGGGAACGTGCAGAGATCCTCTGCCTGGGGTTCCCACACTGCTCGGGCCCCGCGGCCTGATCCCAGCGCCCTGTTGAACTCCAGTCCCCGTTTCCATAGAGACCACAAGACGACGACCATCTCTCTCCACCCCCAGCCACGGTCACGGGCTATATTTATCGGGGGATACCAGTGGGATTTGGAGATTCGGCCCAGGAAGCCGGCCACCTCCTCCGCAGAAATAGACACAGAGCTCTGTCCCCGCGGGAGCCCTGGCAGGGGCCGGTGGGGGCCGGAGCCAGGGAAGACCTTCTGCGGGCCGACTGGCCGCGAGGAGCAGGTACAGCCGGCACAGCCTYGGCCACAGATGCCCTGCGGGGGGGACGGTTCTGCCGGAGGAGATGCCCGGGTGTGACTGCTGGCCCCCAGGGGAACGGGGAATGTCCCCTGTGTGCGGCTGACATTTATGGAGGGAGCCAAGCAGGAAGCCGCGACCACAGGATAATTGGCGCTCCCCGGGGTGCGGCCCTCTGGGACTGGGGAGCGAATGACGCAGGGACCGACCGCGTGTCAAGGCTACTCACGTCGTGCAGCGGGTACGCGGCCGAGTACACGCCGTTGGCCAGCAGGCTGGTGATGCCTTAAAAACAGAGCAGAGCGAGGTCACGGGTCAGGCAGGCCCCCTCCCACGTCTGTGCAGCCAGAGGTCCCCGGGCCCACTTGGCCATGCGGAGCTCTCTCGAAGCCCAATGCACCCGGCTGCGCAACCTGGCCGCGTCCCGGGCTCTTCCCCAGGTGGCCGCGGWGGCCGGCTGCCTGTCCACGCGGCYGTGGTCACAACATGCTCGATTGGCGGGACCGGGAAGGCAGAGGAAGCCCCCTGAGGAAGCTYGTCTCGGAGGAGGAGGCGCCAGCAGCCCCCCACTTGGCTCAGGCACCCCCAGACCTGCCGCTCACSGCGCCCCCGGCGGATGGAGGGCAAGCCCGCAGACCGGAAAGGTGGCGGGACGGCCAGAGAAGCTGAATCACGGCCCCGGAGGAGCAATTGATGGTGTCGGAAACACACATACAATTTGGAGTCGGGCGGAGGCTGATTGGAAGGCGGGGGCTCCCCACTTACCGTACTCCCCACACTTCCGCCTTTTACTTAGAAGGGCAGAGTCCTTCCTTCTTCCCTCTCCTTGCCCTGTTTGTACATCGGCCATTAGTGACACGGCAGGGCCTGGCGGAGCCCAGTGGCACGGGGGAGGTGCTGGGGGAGGGGTCTGCGGGGGACGCAGGCCGGGGGCCGGGGAGGGACAATGCTCGGTCCACGCCAGGCGCAAGGCCGACACACCACACCTGCGTGGGAAGAGGGGTCGGCGGGGGGCCGCGGTGGGGAGGCTCCTGGGGACCTGATCTGGCTCCGACACCAAGGACTGGCCCTGCCGAGGAGCGGCCATGACGCCCTTGGCTGTCCCSGAGACCCCTGGCTGGCAGAGAGGCTCTCGAGGTGTACGTGTGTCYGAGTTTTCACGGTGGCCTGGGCGGCCACCCTCTGTGACTCCAGGAGACACTGGTGGGAAAGTCACTTCCTGAAATCCCCTTAGAGATGGACTGTCCCCTGGGTCGGTGATCCAGAGTGGCTAGTGGGCCTGAGGGACACTTAGGGACCAAACCAGAGGACAGGGAGCACATGGCTGGAGCCACGAACGTGAGTGAAAAGGTCACCTGCCACTAACCGCCTGGCCCGGGGCGCTCCTTGTCCTTGCCCAGATGTCCTGCTGCGGGGAAGTCCCCTGAGCCCGCTGCTGCGTCTCCCCGCCCGCAGCACTGCGCTCTGCTCACCTGCTCCCCCTGGGATAGAAGCTGCYGGGTGGGCAGTGCAGCCCTGGGGACGGAGCCCGGCAGGGACAGGGGTCCGATGCTACTCTTGAAAGCTGAGTGGACGAGCTGGGAGGTGGGCAGAGCCCCACGTGATGCRGGATGGTGGAGAAGGCACCGGACCTGTCTGTCCCTCCCAGGGGCAGGGGACCAGCCCCCAAGAATCTGGCGGGAATCACAGACCCTCCAYCCCAGGCCACCTGAGCTGGACGCCAGCTCTGCCCAGTGGCTCTGACCCCAGGCTCCTTAYAGACCTTCCAGCAGCCACATGTGTTTCTGTGGGACACCATGGGGACAAAGTCCCAGACCCAGCCGGGACTGGAGCCGTGCGTCCCTCTGCCTCTGGTGCTGTGCTCAGCTTCCCTCTGGCAGCCCTGAGCTCCCAAGGTGCCCGCTCCCCACCCGCCCAGCAGGACCTGCCCCTCTGGAGACCCTTGCCATGGCAGTGGGGACAGTTTCCGGGCTCCTCCTGACCGTGCAGGGGCCCTGGTGCTCAGAGAGAGGACACGGCTTTGAGACTTGAGGCCTAGAAGATTGTCTTTGTGGGTGACCTTGGCCATGAYGGTCAGGACACAGCAGCCAGCCTGAGACCCGAGGGGCGTCTCCCTGCTGTCCCCAGGAGCCCCTTGCCGAGCCCTGCCCCTTTTCTGGCCCTGTTTTACTTCYTGTGGCACCCCTCCCTTCTTGGGATGCCTCCCCAGACGGCTCTGTCCCCCGTGATCCGTGCCTGGCCCCTGCAGAGGTCTTGTGTGCTGGTGAGGGGCAGCAGGGAGGCTGGAGGGGCACGGGGGCCCAGGGCGTGCTGGATTAGCGACGGAGCCCGCAGGGGGCCAGGGACACAGTCGGCTTCTCAGCTGGGGCTTTTTGGGGGTTCTGTGAACAGGTCCTGGAGGAGCCCTGTGGACTCGGGGCATCTGCACATGTGGCCTCTGGCCAGGGCAGCGCTTTGGTGCCTGGGGGTGGGCTGCATCCGAGCCCCTGGGGCTGGAGGCCAGGGCCTCGGCCAGCTGCGCCCAGCAGGGCTGCAGCTTCCAACAGCCCTGAAGAGCTGCCTGGGCCGTGGCCCCCCCGTGGGCTCCCAGGCTGCTTCCTGCTGGACCTCGAGGGTCAGGGAGGCCTCGGAACCTGGACTGCTCCAGCCGGCTCCCCGCCCGCCCGCCCCACGGGTCTCAACCCCACGCTCACGAGCACATGTGGACTGGAGGGCCCTCATGGTTTAAAAATGCCGGCTGTAAATCTGCCCCAAGCTGCCCGGCCCTCCTGCCCAGCCCTCCAGTCTACCGGTCACACAGGCGTAAATCAAAACCCTGAACACCCCGGGGTGACTGGCCCCTCGGAGGCCGCCCTCCCGAGTCCCAGCGAGCGCCTACCCATGCTGTACTTGGCCTTGGTACACGTTGTCCTCTTCAGAATTTCATAGACCTGTGGCGGGGACAGGGAGGGAGGGCGGTTACCGGAGGCTCCTTGGCCAGCAGCACCAGCTTCGCTGGAAGGAACCGGTCAGATGTCACAAGGGACAGAGCATGTCCCAGGGGAGGCGGTGGCCCTTGCATCCACCGAGCTCAGGATGCCACAGGGTCAAAGGTCTGAGGCTCCTGGGGACCAGTGAGTGRCCCTGGAGAACTCCCATCCATGGCGTCCCTGGGTCAGCCACAGCACAGCACTGGCCACGCCCAGCAGGACCCCTCCTGGCACCATAGCTGCCCCCAGCCCTGTGTGGCACGGTCACCATCCCTTTTGGCTGAGAGGTGAACTGGAGCAGGTGCCCTCCTGGACACARCCCCAGGTGTCCCTAAGGCTGGGGAGGGGCCAAGGGTGGCAGATAGGTCCTGGGATCCCCAGTCCCACTGACGGGCACCAAGGCACCCAGCGGAGCCCTCTGCTCCCAGACAATGCAACCGACCAGTGGCCTCAAGAGCCCGGCTGGGAGTCTGCCTGCCGGACCTGAGTGCCCGCTGCCCTCGGAGCTGTGGGACATCAGGCAGCTGGCTCCCACCTGCCTGGGTCCCAGGTGCAGAGTCGGGAAGGACGTAGCCGGACCYGCGGGGCACACCTGGAGCGTACTGGGGCTCCGCGCCCGCCCCTCTRCTCCCCTCCCTCAGGCAAGCCAGAGCCCCTCCAGTGGCCACCAGCCTGCGCCCCCGGCCCGGCCGCCACCTGCTCCTGTCTCCTGTCTCTGTCACCTGCTGTGCAGCRTCTCTCCTGCCCTGCAGGGTCTTCCCTGTCCCACACAGGTCCACGGGGCAGCTCCCTCCCCCACTGTCCCCTCCCCCTGGACCTCCCCTTCTGCYCCATGCTCATGGGCTCAACACCCAGCTGCAGGCACACAGCAGGTGCTCAATAAATACCTGCCAAATGAAGCGACCACTTTGCTCCTCACATCCCTGTCGACAGCAGATTGCCTTGCCCTGACCCAATTCTCCTGTGACCACCTCCTCCCTTCTACACAGTCACGGCTCCCATTCACAGCTGTCACCATGACCCCATGTCAGCCTTTCATCTGCTCTCCCACCGTCAGCCCCTGGAAACTCTAAAACAGTTCTGACCACACCCAAAACCCTGYCCTGCAACTCTCTATGGCTCCCCAGTGCCTTCGGACAGACTTTGTAAGACCCATGATCAGCACATCGGGCCCCTCCCTGTTGGGTGCTGCTGCTCTCTGACTTCTACCTACAGGCTCCAATGGCTGGAGGGCGGGGCYGTGAACCTCACACCCTGGCTGTCAGGGGTGCCCTGGAGCACACTGGGGTCTGTAGGGAGCAGACAGTGGCCCTCCGCCGGCCCAGAAGTGGATGCAGCCAGGGCCCATGGGGTGCTCACGGTAGCCCTCACCCAGGGACCACAGCCTGATCTGGATCCAGCAGGTGCCAGGGAGCTGGCTTGGGGCTGTCATCTCCGCCCCTCCCTGTCRGCAAGGCCGGATCCACACATGTGCACCTGCCCGAGCTCCTGGGAGTGCTAGGCGCCTAGAGATGGCAGAGGTCAGGGTGCAGAGACATGCTGAAACGTGACCTGGGACCCCGCTCACCCAGGTGGCTGTTCCAATTTCCCTGTCACCGTGATGGAGAAGCACGRTGGTTCTCCCAAGCGGCTGACATCCGAGGGACGTGCTAGCCCCGAGCCCTTGGGGACAATGCCCTCGCCCCAGCCCCTGGCTGCTTATTATCACGAGATGTAATTGCAAAAACCCATCAGCAGCTCCATTAGTAACAGGAACCACAGCGGTGCCTTAGTCCCCAGCGCGGTGCCCGCGTGACTGTCCTGCCGGCCGCACCAGGGAACAGGCAGAGCAGCCTCGCCTGGACCGACGCAGGCTCCAGGACCCGCCTGAGGGCACAGGGCTGGGGACGGGAAGAGGGTGGACAGGACCTGGGCTGCCCCAACGTGACCTGTGCCACGGTCCTGCGGTTGGCCGCCTGCCAGTCTGGGGATGACAGTGGCGAGGGCTGGTTATCTGCCCCAGGTCAACCAGGCAGTGTCCTCTCGGCCCTTGGCCTCTGCCTGGCCAGCAGGCTGGGCGTCTGGGCAGGGAGGAGAGAGCGGCCGTGACTTGGCTGCGAGGCTGATTTCTTGTTTAGATAGAAATTGGGGCCTGAGCCACGCACAGCCCAGCTTGGCGGGGGCACAGTTGGCGGCCGATGGATAAACAGCAGGCTGTACCTTGAGCAGAGCAGGGTGGCCTGCTCGGATTTCAAACTGGGTTTGCTTCTCTGGCAAAGGCCTGGAAATATATCCAAACGCATGAACTTGGCTCCCACGGCCCATTCCTCCTGCTGGGACAGCCGTGCCAGGGACCCACAGCTAGGCCTGGGGAACTCGGGAGCCGCCGAGAGGCCCCCCCAGGTGTGGGGACTGCACAGGTCTCCCTCCCTGCCCTCCTGTTGCTCTGTCCTGTCTCAGGCTCCTCCTCCTGCTGGCCATCCCCTGGGTCACTTGCTGCCCTCTCAGTTCATTATCCTAATTATTTCTGTCACAGACAATTAGAGGCGGCTCCCACCCAGAGGAGTTTCACTGAAATGAAATTATCTCTGCCATCCCCAGGGCCACCCTGCTGGTGAGGCYGTTCCACGGCGCGCTACTTACTATGGAGCTCCGGGTTTTGCTGTCGAAAAAGGAATCCTTATCAGAGAGGTCGAATCTGTTGAAAGACAGGGATGGAGACGGGCCGTTTGTTAGATGTGAGACTGTCACATGCCAGGCATGGTCTGTCCACCTGGGGCACCGGGGCGGGCTCTGCCCTGGACATGGCTCTGAGACCCATGCTCGTGGRAAGTGGCCCCAGGGGCAGGAGTGGCCTGAGGCCTTCCTGAGGATGCTGCTCTCCCTCGGTGACATCCTGAGTTGGTAGCACTTAAAGTCTCTGCTTCAGCCCTGGGGGACAGGGACAGTATCATCCTACTGTGAGCCAGGTCCGGTTGAGAAAACCAGCAGTTGGGGTCTCAATGTCACGGATAGCACGGAGACTGTCTGAGGCTTCCCGAGAGCAGAGGGGCCCTGGGAGGGACGGGGCCAGGCAGGGAGAGGGCACCACCTCTGGTGCCCTGCTCTGGGCTGGTGGGGGAAGCGGGGCTGGGTGGCTTCCTTCTCTCTGGGTAGCCTCCACCAGGCAGGGTGGCCCACCTACGTACGTGTCCCAGGGCAGCAAGCCCAGTCCTGGGCGAGGCTCATGCCTGCCCTGCCCCTTTGTCCACCCATGAGGCCTGAGGTGGCCTCTGCCCTGGGACGCACCTTACACATTCCCCTGGGTCCCCAGGCCCAGGGGTGGCGCTCCTCCTCTGCCCCCGCTCCTGTGCACCCAGCAGGCCGGGCAGAGGCCGAGCAGCCGCTGCTGACCCAGGTGGCCACGCCCACTGCCCTGGGGAGCAGAGGAGGCAGGAGGTTCCAGAAGGGGCGCAGCACTGCCAGGCAACACCGCGTGGCCATGGGTCCCCAGGGCCGGGGGACTACACTGGGGACGCCTTCTGATCCCTTCCTCCCTGAGCTGCTTGGCTCATGGCTGCATGGCTGAGGAGCATCAGCGTCACCTGCGGGAGTCWCGCTGGAGGCTGGGGTCAAAGAGCAGGTCCCGCGGGGAGGGGCCCACTTACAGGTGCTGCTTCTCCCGGGAGAAGGGGTAGGAGAGTCTCTTCATGGTCTGCGGCCTGTGCTCGGCCACCCTGGGCTGGATGGGGTCGGTGATCTTCTGCAGGACRGAGTTGATGGTCTTCAGGAGGCCGCGCGTCTCGCTCATGCGGTACATCTGCAGAGGGGGACAGGCGTCACGCGGCGGAGCCCTGACCCAGGGCCTCTTCTGGACGCCCCCAAGCTGGGGCGGTGCCTCCTGGGGACAGCACAGGGCTGGGCTCCCTTCTGAACCAACCCTCCACGTTTCAGGAGCATCGGGCAGGGGCTCGGTGTGCCACGCTCCAGAAAACCTCTCAGACTTGTTTTTTGTCTCCAAGGAGGGGATCCGAGGGCCCCGGTGGGGAGGAGGAGCCGGGCCGACTCGCCGCCGACCCCGCGTCAGCCCCCGGCCTGTGACGCCAGGCTCAGCCTCACTGTCCGGCTGCCCTTCAGCCACCAAGTATTCAGAGACCACGAGGACAAGTCCAGGGCAGGACACGTGATCACACTGGATTTGATAAACAGCCGAGACCCCCMGGCATTAAAGACCCCTGCTCAGTCTGCTGCGTCTGAGCTTGTGACCCAGCCCCACGGCGGGAGGCGGGCTTCTGTGTGCCGACCTTCGGGTGGGATGTGGCCTGGGGTCTCTGAACACCACCCAGCGCTGGGTCACGTTCTCCACCATCAGGACGTGGACCCCCAGGAGGCTCCATCACCCCTGAGCCTCGCTGCCCTTCTGGGGGTGGCAATTGACCCTGGCTTTTCTGAACGACTCAGAGCCTCGTGGGGAGACACCCTGTGGCCAGGCGTCGGGGTGACCCTCAGCCGCGGTGCATCGTGGAGGAGAAGCGTCACCACCGACCTTCTTTGTCGGCATCTTCAGTTTCAGGAACTCAGCCTCTCGGCAGAGCACACTCCAGGGGGCGTGGATCTTGACGAAGCCGACCCCGTGGATTTTAGTCTAGAGACAGAAGAAGGCTCTCGGTCAGGGTGGGCAGCGCCTGCCGAGAGCCCCGGGTACTTCTGGGGTCCGGGGACTCCGGGGCAGCTCCTGCGCGGGCTGTCGGTGCCCATCACCCACTTCACCCCGGACACAGCTCRAGGCTCCTGCAGGGGTGTCCTCCCTACAGACGGTGGCAGCACAGGGGCGACAGGGACTCCCCCAGGGGAGGGCCTAGTGGGCAGCACTGGGGTCAGAGGCTCCAAAACCCCAAGGGAGTTTTCAGGGAAATTGAGTTGAGGGCCCCCAAAGCAGCCCAGGCCGCGGACCAGGGCACTCAGGGCCCCTAGGTCTCTGCCCATCCTCTGGGCATCTTCCCTCCACAGCCGGGGCCACCTCTGCCCGCTCACAGCCACCTCCTGGGGTCCTTGTCTGCTCAGGCCTCTTTCTCCCGCCAGCACCGGGTGCAGGCCCAGGCTCACRTCCCGGCCCCCACTGAAGCTGGGACAAGTCTCTTCTCCCTGGTCCTGAATAACGGTGACGAACAGGCCACAGGCGCACCGCAGCCCTGGCCTGCCGCGGCGGAGCCAAAGCCTGGGTGGGGGACGTCCGAGAGCAGGGAATCTCAGAGTTCACGCCCCCAGCGAGAGCAGACCGAGGGCAYGTCCCCAGGGGCCTCACAGCTTCTGGCCTGGCGCAGAGGTCCTGAGGAGCCACGCRGCCCTGGCGACCCCGCACCAGCCCTGCTGGGGGAAGGGGACCCCTCCTGACACCAGGTCCCTCTCTGCTGACCGCCCACCAGCAGGCATGAGTGTTGGTGATGAGACTCACTGTCACACCCCGTGGTCCCCGCCCCCAGCACAGGCCTGGGTGCACCTGGACGTGGCCTGCTCTGCCGACAGGAGCTGGCCACCCACAGCAGGGACCACCCATGTATGGGGTGCATGAAAGAGAAGAAGGACGGGCAGTAAGCGGCCACTGCCATGGACGTCCGCCTGGTGCCTGCGGCCAGCCCCGCCTCGCATGTGTCGTGGTGGGTGAGGTAGGCCTGCGGCTGTGCTCACGGTGCAGAAGGGAAACTGAGGCACAGAGGTCCCAAGCAGGCCAGCATGTTGCATTAGTGTCCTGGGACCGCTGTGACCTGAGCCAAGGGGCTCAGAGCAACAGAAACACCACCCCAGTCCCCGAGGCCACCACCCAAACTTCAGGTGTGTGCAGAGCTGAGCCCTGTCCAAGGCTCCGGGGCATGTGCTTCCTGCCTCCCCAGCTTTGGGGCCTCCAGATGTCCCCTGGCTAGTGACCATGTCACTCCAACCCTGGCTCTGCCATCTCCTGGCCGTCTGCCCTCTGTGACTGGGTCCCCTCTGTTCCTCCCTCCACTGGGTTTAGGGTCTCTCTCCTACTGGGATTGGGTGGGCCTAYTGCTTCCAGAAAGGCCTCTCTACTTCCCTCCACAAGACCTTTCTTCCAAACAAGGGCACATCTGCGTGCGCCCCGAGACGTGCGCACCCCTCCGCCCACCCCTCAGGGGCCTGGCAGCTCCAGGCCCTGTAGAGACTTGTGCAGGAGCCTGCCTGAGTGGTCAGGGCCAGTGTGCAGAAGCACAGGCCTGGCAGGGGGGGGCTGAGCTGCTTCAAGGGCTCGGAAGGACCAGGGCACTCCAGGTGCAGGGCAGCTGGCCTGGCTCAGAGGTGTGCAGGGTGGGGCACTCCTGGGGAGCCCGGAGCCCAAGGCTGGAAGGTAGCARGCACGGCCCTGGACGCCCTCTGGGAGCCATGCGTGGTTCTTGGCAGGGGCTGGAGGAGGCCTCCCAGGGCCCTCAGGGGTAGAGGCCTCAGTCCTCCAGCTGCCCTGGTTCAATTCCTGCTCTGCCCCTGTGTGGTCTTTGGCAAGTGGCTTAACCTCTCTGTGCCCATTTCCTCATCTGTAAACGGAGCAATAAAAAACCCAACCGACAGAGCCAGGGGCCTCTGGTGCCCACAGCAGTCCCAACGCAGTGGCCCGACTGGCAGGAGCAGGCCGAGCTCAGGACCGCCTCTCCCTGACCACAAGGCAGCTGAGACCACGCCTGCCCTGCTGAGAAGTTCAAAGCATTTCCCCAGCCCAGCCACAAAGGGTCCCCGGTCCTGGTGACTCATGGGCTGACATCATGGGACACCCCTGAGTCAGGGGAGGGGAGCGTCCCCAGCCCACATGTGGGAGGGTCTTCTGTTACAAACCCAGATGGGTTTCTGTGCACTGCTCACTGCAGGCAGAGACCCGAACCCTGCCCCCAGAGTCCACCKCGGGGTCTGCTGCCACCCCTCCCCCCAGGAGAGCGCGCTCCCTGCCTGTTGAGGGGGTCCCTCCAGGGAAACATCTGGTGAGATTTGGGAGAGGGGTCCTGGGACCGAGTCAGAAAAAAACTTGTTTTGAAGTGTGGTACCCAGCATGGCACAGCCCCCCACGGCAGGAAGACCCGGGGCAGCCGGGCCCCCCATCCCCAGCCCGAGACCCCAGGGGGGCAGGTTCTGTCTGGCCTGGCGTGGGGGTGTCTGAGGCCACAGGTCCACCAGTGCGGGGAGTCAGGCCTGGGGTCGGGGGRGAGGGCACCACGCCTGGCYGGTCACCAGGCTCTGTGCGGGACAGCACCGGGACCCCCGAGTCCCCAGCCACAGGAGGTGGGGGCGTGGGCAGGCTGAGCAGAGCAGAGTGGACACTGCCATCCCGAGCCCAGCGCACACCAGCTCTGCGCTCCCCAGAGCCGTTCCAGTCCCAGTGCCCTCCTCTCAGAAGATCACAAACAGAAACGCAGAGGTCCCTGTGGGAGACTTGGGGTGGCCAGGGACGCCAAGACGCCCCTCCCCCAGCCCTCCTGCCGCTGTGGGCCTGCACGTCCATCGGGGCCCGTGGAGGGCTCCCACGGCTGGCTGGCTGGCCTGGCATCCGCCTGCCCTTCTGCGGGCACCGGCCTCGGGTGAGATGTGAGCTGGGGCAGGCGGTGCCCTGGGCTGGAGGGCGGTGTCTGCTGGGCCGGGGAGAGGACAGGGGCCACCTTGACAGAGCGCCCTCTGGGCCCCAGCTGGTCGCCCGGCTCTCAGCCCTCCCCGCCCCCAGCCCCCGCTGGTACCTAGGTCCAGGGGCTGGGAGGGCCCGCAGGGGGTGTCACACGGGAACTCCAGCTGGGCTCCTCCTGCCCCCCACTCACGGTCCCCGAGGGCACGGCCTAAGGCCAGGGAGGCCCTCAACATGGGGCTCGGGCCTACGTGAGGCAGAGCCCCCGCTAACTGGACATTCCCCGTCTCAGTCATGACTGGCCATGTCCACGCTGCACAGGGAGACCTGGCAAGGCTTGGGACAGAGCCACCAGGTCCTGTGTCACTTCCCTCAGGGAGAAGGACTCCTTCTAACCCCTTTTGACCCTGTGTCCAGTCTCAGGCCTCAGGGCTGCGGAGACCAGTGGACGTGGTCTCAGGGGTGGACCAGGTGCGCTGCTGGTMTCCACGCAGGGACAGGCTGTGACACCTTCATCCTCAGCCCTCGACCTGGCTCTGGCCCAGGCCCGCCAGACCACAGCTGGCGCTGCAAGACAGACCTGTCAATCAAAGGCCTTMGCTGAAAAAGAAAAGTCCAGAATCCGCTGCCACAGAAACGTTTCCACGGCACCAAGTCACCAAAGGAGCCACCAGGAGCGTCACACACAGCTCTGGCCCTAGCAGAAGACTCGGGAGACAAAGCCTGCGGTGACGGGGTGGCAGAGGCACCACCGGGACCAGGAGAGGCCCTGGTGCCTGCTCTTCCCACAGGGGGCTGGGCAGGGCCATGGAGGAGCCGGGGCCAGAGGTCAGGAGCCAGCCTTCTGGGCCAGCCCTGGACCAGGAGCTCTGTCCCCTGCACCCCAGTCCAGGCGGCATCCCGGCCTGGCCCCTTGCTCCGGGCTGGGCAGCCATGGGCCTAGGCAGCTAGCTTCCAGACCCCCAAGCCCTTTTCTCTGTCCTCAGAAGCCAGAGAGACCCGCCACTGGCCATCAAGGACCCCAGCCCCGCATCCTCCGCGTCCAGGGCTGTGAGGAGCGACCCCGCCCCAGGGCCCAGCAAACCGAGCCCAGACCTGCCTCAGAACCTGCGGTAAGCAGCAAGGATCACAGGGCCCCTCCCTTTCCCTTTCCCGTGACCAGGGCATCCTGCCTCTGTCCTCCCGGTCCCCTGGAGGAGGTTGGGTGGGAGCCCCTGAACAGGGGGACCCCCACAGGCTTGAGTCTGACCCATCTGGCTGGAAGCGGGGCCCGGCTGCTGCTCTTGCCTGCGCCCTGGCAGGTACCTACCGCCCTGCGGCCAGCCCCAGGCCCACGCCAGCCCCTTACCCTGGCCTCCAGTCCCGGGGACTTGCCGCTCGGCTCCTCGTTACAAATGGGGACTCCGAGGCCCAGAGAGGGTGCCTCTTAACTCGGGGAGCAGCTGCCCGGGGCTCTGACCTCCTGCAGTGTGGGGTGATGTCCCATAGCGTGGGGTGACAGCAGCCCCCTTCCTCCCACAGAGCCACAGCCACTAGCTGTTCAGGGGCAGCATCTCAAAGATGGGGAGCAGATGCCCCCAGTGACCGACAGCCGGCTAGCCCACCAGCCCCAGGGAAGCCCGCCCAGAGACGGCAGCAGGCCAGCGGGCACAGGGGCCCGACAGCCGCCAGAGCAAAAGACTCGGAGGGTCCATGTCCTCAACAGAATCCACCAAAGCCAGGTCAAGTCCAYGTCAGGGCAGTGTGGGCCCCGGCCACCCGCCACACTGCTGGGATTTCAGCCAGTGGCCTGCTCTGCAATGACCCTGGACATTCTTCATGTCCAAGGCTTTGAGGCTGGACTTGACAAGTGCAATGGATTTTCACTGCAAGGAGACATGTTGGCCACCAACTCCTGCTGACCCCGCAGGGAGGTGGGGGAGGGGGAGGGGGAGGAAAGGGGATTGGGGGAGGGAGAGGGGAGGCAGAGTGGGGGAGAGGCAGAGAACGAGGGGAGTGGGGGGATGACAAGAGAACGAGAAAGGGAGGGCAGGGGAGGGGGAGAGGGAGGGCAGGGGAGGGGGCGGGAAGCCCCCTCAGTCGGGCCTCCTGGCCCCCTGCCATTTCCTCGCTGTCCCAGAGGTCCCCCACCTCTCCAGCTGACTTTAAGAGCCACCCTGCAGGTACGAGTGGCCAGCCCTTTCCTGCCCACCCAAGGCCCCTCCCTCTTCAAGGCATCTGGGACTTCTGTCTGGGACTTCTGTCTGGGACTTGCCACCAGCCCTCAGCGGGCTCCTGGCTCACAGGAGGCAGTGGGGTCTCCGTGGAGAACTGAACAGCACGGGGCTTTGGAGGACGTGGGGGCCTTGGAGGACCTCGGGGCCTGGTCAGAGCCGGCACTGGGACAGGCCCCAGGGCCTCTGGTGCATGCTCTGGCCCTGCAGGGAAGCCACCAGGCCAAGCTGGCCCCGCTGCTGCCCCAGGCCACCYGTCTCCCCTGCCCTGCTGGGGCCACGCCTCCCCCAGGCTGGCTGCCACCTCTGTGCCTGGGCCACCCCAGCCACGTCCCCCATCCCGGGGTGCTCAGCTGGTGGGGGGTTGCACGGTATCCCCCCATAGATACCCTGACCCTGGCACCTGTGACCGTGCCCTTAATTGGAACCAGGGTCTTTGCAGATGTGGCCAAGGTAAGACAAAGTCACACTGGACTAGTGTGGCCCTGAACAGAATGAGGAGAGGGTGCACAGGAACCCAGCAGAGGGAGGCCCTGTGAAGACCAGGCAGGGACAGGAGAGATGGGGCCACCAGCCAAGGACTGTGAGGCCACTAGGAGCTGGCACGGTGGGAAGGGCTCCCTGCAGCCTGGGGCCCCCGACTCCTGGACTTTAGACGACAGAACCCCAGAGCTGGGGGGGAGACCCGTCTGTCACCGCAAGAGACGACTCRGCTGTTATCTGGTCCCTGAGAGCCACCCCATTGTCCCTTCAGCCAGATCACTTTCTGGCAGAATCACATGCTGAGTCGCGGGGGCCCCAACGRCACCCCTGCCTCAGCGAGAAGGCGAGCCATGTCCCTGTGACCTCTCAGCCCGCTGTATCCAGGGCCACACTGTCACACACAGGCACCCCACAGAGAGCGAGGCCAGGCTGTTCCTGCACCTGGAGACACCCCCCCTGGGCCACTGAGCCAGGCCACCCATTGGGCCCCTCTGGTTCTTCTTTCTCCTTGCCTGAAGGTCCAGCCTTCGAAGCCAGGTTCCTTCAGCTGGTGGGGGCAGGATTCTGGCCCCCAGGGACACTTGGCCATGTCTGGGGACACTCTGGCTCTCCCAGCCTGGGAGTGTCAGCTGGCCAGGCAGAGCCCAGGGGTGCTGCCGAATGCTGAATGCCAGCAGCCGGGGTCGAGGACTCCAGCCTGGGGTCTGAGCCTGGGGCCGTCGGGGGTTTGGGAGCTGGCCCACGCTGTGGGTTTCTCTACGGAAGTGCACAGAGGCCCCGAGTCCTGATGGGGAGACCGGGCTCTCCTGGAGCCGCTCTCAATCCCCAGCCCTGGCTCCTGTCCTCTGAGCACAGCCGGGGKTGGTTCATCCGAGGTGGCGACTCTACCTGGAAGCAGACCCCCCCAGCCCTGCCTGCTGACCTTGCTGACGCCGCAGGCTGCGGGCAGGGCCCGTGTCCACACGGCCTTCTCACAGACCAGCTTCTGGGATAGCAGGCTGCGGAGCCTCGGGCCCCCTCACCTCCCAGGAGGCTCTGGTCCCAGCGGCCCTCGTCGGGCACAGGTGACCACTTGAGGACTCCGGCTGGGAGGTGGGACCAACTCCCTTCAGCTGCCTCGAACGCTTGGTCTTGYCCCTGCCCAATCCCAATTCCATTCCTAAGGGGCCGATGGGAAACCTTGTCCAGCTCTAGGCCACAGCACCCATGAAATTCCAGGGTCATTTATTGCAGGACTAAAGTTTTGTTGGTGACAGTGACCAATGTCCTTCTGACTGCTTTTTATTTCAAATGCAGAAGAGACAATATAAATACACTAAAAAGTAGACATTTTCACACGGCTTGTAGTGGGACTTGGAAAGCACCCTGTTTTCAGCCTGGCCAGCACCCCCCCACCCCCGGGMCAACTGTGCACTGAGCACCTTGCAGGGACACCCATAGCGACCCAGCGCTGTGAAGGCCACTGCCCTCTCCGGTTGRCAGCGGTGGACACTGAGGCCTTGCAGCTCACCAAGGACAGACAGAGGTCGGGGCTCTGCCAGGTGGGTGTGCAGTACCAGACCTCAGAGGCCACTGTCACGCTGGAGAGTCAAAGTTGTCCTCAGGGAAGAATGACAGAGAGAGGTAGGCCCTCGGGAGGACAGAGTGGAGTCGGCTCTCCCCCCTCGGCCCACCTCCAGGGCCCCCTCGCTGCCTGAGAAGGAGCTAATTTGTTCCTGCTGTAAAATGACGTGAAATAAACTCCACATAGTGGCCGCCTTGTTCCCAAGGCCGCAGGGCTGCGGGCAGAACCATGAGGAGGGCCCGGGGGGACCCAGGCTCTTCCCCAGGAGCTCGGAACCCGAGGACCACGCTCACCTGTGCTGGCCACAGTCCTCAGCATCAGGAGGAACTCCCTGAATTTCATTAGCTCAGATCGGGGCCGGAGCCAGGCAAACGGTTCAAGGCCCTCACACGCCTGGACGCCTCCCGGAGAGGACCCCGCACACACCTGCAGGCAGCCGGGCCCAGGGAGGAGSGGACCCAGAGAGACCCAGTGTCCGGCAGGCTCCCTGGCCTACCATGTGGGCCCGCGGTGGACAGCCCTGGGTGGAAATGCTCTGAAGGCTTTCTGTCACCAAACCAGAAGCACTCGTCACTCGACGACACGCAGTTCCTGCCGAGGACCCTTAGCCCCAAGCCAGCCTTGTTTTCAACACCACGCTGCCTCGGCCGCTCCCCACGTTAGCTGTGGACTCCTCGCCCACCCTTAGCCTGGGCTGGAGACTTCTGCTCCTTTCTGATGAATCTGCACAGAGACAGCTCAGGGGCTTCCCTTCCCCCGCTCATGTCATCAAGGGCACCCGGACACAGGGAGGCACAGAGAGGTTAAGACATCAGCCGAGGAGCACACAGTCATCACCACTGAAGGCAGCACCTGCCAGGCCACCCTCTGCACGTGGTTGCATTTGCAGTGGCCACAGCAGCCAGGCCTGGCTGTGCCGGGGTGGGGGGTGTCCAGGGCACAGAGTTACCCGATTATGGATCCCAGAGCAGGGCCCCAGACCTGTCTCCTCAGTTGACAACCTCAGAAACCGAGGCCCAGAGAAAGGTCAAGGTCACCCAGGAAAACCACCAGGACAGCTTCATCCTCTGTCCCTCTGACTGGACAACCTTTCCTGGGCAGCGACGGACACAGGAAATGCTTGGCCCCCGCGGGTCACGGCTCTGCGGCCAGCGCAGGYGCAGAGCAGAGGCGCCTGGGCCGGTGGCCCGGGGCTCCCCGGCGCTGACCGACACTCTTCCTTCCCCTCCTGGTTGACGACAGTGGCACTGTCATCTGGCCCTGGCCCAGGGCCGGGAGAGCCCCACCCGTGCCCTGTCCAGGAGGGTCCTTACGTCCTCGTCGCGCTCCAGCTCCAGGCCGGCCTCCAGYAGGTGGCCCTCGTACTCGTCCCTGCGGAACCGCTTGTCGTCCTCCTGGTAGTCCACGGGGGGCTCGGGCGCCGCGTCCACYGGGGCCCCCTGGCCGGGCAGCGGGTGGTCCTGCTTCACGCGGCGAGCGCCCAGCGCCGTGTCGCCGGCCGGGGCCCTCCGGGCCAGGCCCCTGGCGCCCGCAGGCCTCTTGTGGTGGTACACCAGGATGTAGTCCACCTTGCGCCGGCCGTCCCGGAAGTACTGCCCGAACCTGCACCCGGCGTCGGGGTCCACGGACAGCGAGTTCAGCAGCTGCGGGGGAGGAGGCGGCCGTCACCAGGCTGGCCGGGCCGGGCCCTCGGGGGCCACCGCCCACGGCCCCCACCACCCCAGACGGGAAAGGGTCAGGAAGGGCCGGTGTCTGTCCCTAACCCGGACAGCGTCTCCTCGTCATTTCCAAAATGACAGYGCAGAGCAGCCCCACGAGGCGTCCCGCCGGGCTGGGTGGTCCGGCCCCTAGGAGGGCTGCGCTGCCAGCCGTGGGACTGGACCTCAGGGACTCGGGGCCCACCCCCTGGACACAGAGAAGACCCCTGCGGAGAGCCAGGTTCTGTCCTGGGGCTGCCACACCAGGACAGGGGCGGGGTGACATTCCAGAAGGCCCGTTGGCTGCCAGCCACACCCTGCCCTCGGGTCCCTGGGGACATCACGCGGCTACACGGAAAAAGCTGCAGAGGGCCACCTTCTAGGAAGGACCTGGCACAGGCCAGCGAGGTCAGGCAGGGCGGCGGCCCTCAGGTAACTGCAGGCGCCATCTCAGCCTCTGACCCCCGACACCGTGCCGTCATGTCCAGGGGAGGCGCTGGCCGGCTCCGYGGAGGCTGTCGCCAGACAGACGGCAGAGCAGGCGGCAGGAGGGGCCCAGAGGACAGGCCTGCGGAGGGCAGCAGCTCGTCTGGGGCACTGTACCCAGAGGGAGAGGAAGACGCTGGGTCTCTGCTGCTCCTGGGGCGTCAAGGCCCCCACCCATGCCCAGCCCAGAGGCTGCCCTCGGGGAGAAGCAAGGGCAGGCAGGGCTGCAGACGCCTGGTCTGAAGGCCTGAGGGCGTCGGGCAGAGCCAGGAGGAAGCGCCAGGCGGGTTGGGAGCCGCGGTCTCAGGACCGCGACGCCCCGGCCCCTCGGGTTCTGCTGGCTGTCACAGCACGGGCCAGCTGCGCGCCRCGCTGGGGTCAGGACCTCGGGGGGAGGCCAGGCTGGTGCAGCCTGAGGAGCTCCCGGCACCACGAGGGCCAGGGCCACACAGGGCTGGAGGCAGGCCTCCCAGCACAGCGGTCAGCAGGGGTGCTGCCCGTGCCCCCCACTCAGCTGGACTCCTCCTTAGGAAGCCTGCCCTGACCCAGTGCCCTGGAGTGCCCCTGAGCTTGTATGGGACTCAGCTGTCCCTTCCCCAGGGCACAGAGCAGCTGGAGGAGAAGTGAGCAGACCCTGGTCCAGGAWGAGCCTGCAGGCTCTGCTCCCCTCTCTGGGACCCACTGGCCACTGTACCCCATCCCTCCATGCTGCCGTGCTCCCCACCACAGCCCCCAGCCACCTCTGCCCCCGGTCCCACCCTGAGGTTCCCCCATCCCATCCCAGGCCCCCGCTGCTCCAGGCAGGAGGCCCTGGCCCCGGCCCTGACTGGCCACACAGCACCCAGGAGGCCTCCCTGGGAATAAGGGGAGTCCTCAGGTACAGGCCCCTGGACCCCGGGATAGCTCCTAGCCGTGCAGGACGCTGAACAGCTCTTGGCCGGGTGAAGGAGGACCTGGCTGCATAGGAGGGCGGCAGGCCCAGGGCACAGGGGTCTGCACAGTCTCCAGAACCTGGCACACTGGGCACGGGTGGGGCCACAGGGAGAGGGAGGACAGACTGGGCCCGAGGACCTTGCCTGCTGGGCTGCAGGGCGCAGAGACGGGGTCGTGGGCAGGTGGAGGCCCGGTCTGCCCAGCCTCCGGTCGGGTTGATGGCAGGGCTCTTGTGCCTCCTGCCTCCTGCCTCCTTGGGGCAGGTGGCCCCGGGTCCCCAGCATCTCAGTTTCCCTGGTCCAGGTGCTGCCTCCAGGGGAGGCCGGGCCTCACCACCAACTGAAGCCAGCAAGGCTGGAACTGTCCGTCACGTCTGCTCTACGTAACTCAGAGTCCAGCCCTCCCCGGTCACCTTCAGAGGACCCAGCAACAGCATGGTACCCTCCACCCTGCTCCCAGTGGGTCTCCACCCTGCTCCTGTGGGGGACCCTCCCAGTGCTCATGGCCAGGACCACACCTGTGTGGGCAGGTGGCTCTGGGGGGGGTTGAGGACAGGAGATAAGCCCCAGCCCAGGGACGGACTGTGCACCTGGGAGACCACAGTGCCTCACACCTGCCACCAGCAAGGGGCACTGGAGTTCACGCTGGGGACCGAGGCCCAGGCCAGCAGGTGAGGAGGCCCCAAGGGGATAGGGCAGGGGAGGACTGAGCTCAGCCTCAAAACCGTCCCCACAGGGCATTCCAGCCCTTGATGGAGTAGGATTGGGGGTCACCTCCCAGCACGGGCCTGCCATCCCACCCAGTCCCCTCAAGCCACCCCGAAGGCACCATGATCAGGTCCTGCTGACCGGCAGGGAACTGAAGCTCACRCAGGAAATGCAGTCAGCCCGGCTGCCCACCTGGTGGCCCCAGGTGCTGAAGCCCCACTGGCCACCCAGTGCCCAGCTCTGCTGGTAAGAGAGGGGTCACCTCCGGCCCCTGCTGCTGGGGCCAGAAGGCAATGGCTAAGTGGGGGCAGGACCCACAGCAGGCAGGTGCAGGCCAGGGAGGCTGAGGCAACCCTGGGCGGCGGGTCCCTCTGGGCAGGCCCAGGCCCAGGCCCAGGCCCAAGTCCATGGCTGGACTTGGTTCCTCTCCAGCTCCAAGGCCTGGGTGAGGCGCCAGGTCCCTCTGAGCCCCAGGTCTGGCTCTGCAGGACGGGAAGGGTAGCCCAAGCTGCCTCCCCGGCCAGGAGGGACAGCTGAGCTGATGACCGCCCGGCCACCCTGCTGAGCTCAGCAGGAGCAGGTCCAAAACGTGCCGGACAGTGCCTGGGGGCCATCCCTGTCACCTGCTCCATCCAAGGCCCAGGGCAGAGGCGCCTTCTCAACATGTCACGAAGGTCAGAGCACAGTCACCGAGCTGGCCCGGGAGGCGCTGTCCCCTCCTCCCTGTGCAGTGGGCACAAGGCCACCCCGATGCCAGGCCCTGCCAGATGTGGGCACGGTGCAGGGGAAGGGGTGCACCCAGCAGGGCAAGAGGGCAGTGTGGACGCTGAGGGCACCCGCTGCGCCCCCCCGGGGCTCGGCTGGGGTCTGGCCTGTGCTTCCTGTCCCCCTGCCCACCTCTCCTTCTTCCCACCCTTCCCAGGCCCTGTGCTGGCCCCACGTGTACCCGCCCGTGCCCCCTCCCTCTCAGCCTTGTGGGGCCTCCTGTGTCCGGGGCCCAGGGAGGACCAATGCAGGCCTCCTGTGCCGGGGCCACCTGGGAACCACCAGCTGCACGTTCTCGACCCACAGAGGCCCCTGAGCCCTGCCCTGACCAGAACCCAGCTACCAATCAGCTTGGTGCCTATGGGGCCCATGGACGCTCCTGGTCAGCAGAGGTGGTGGCGGACACTGAACTAGCCAGCAAGCAGCCCTCGGGGAAAGGGGGACGTGCAGACAGCCATCGAAGCAGAGCAGGGACAGTCCCCAGGAGCCGCCAGGACCCCTGGCTGGGTATAGACACACCGCCTGTCCACGGGGGCCCGCAGGGAGGAGCACGCTGCCCACCGCAGGGCACTTCCCAGCCTGGGGAGGGAGAGGGAGCCAGAGGCCTGACCAAGGATGACATCACCCTCCTGTGCTCAAAGACCAGCGTTGTCACGAGCTGTGCTGCCCCAGACCCRGGGCTCAACCTCTTCGTGCTTCCACATTCCTAAGACCTCCCACATTTGATAGGACCCCCTCCCCCCAGGGGTGTTGGGAGGATTCCATGTCTCACTTTTCATTTTAGAATTTACAATAGGCCCTGCAGCGAGGGRACCCTCCACAGAAGCTTGGTCTCAGTGGGAACTGAGTCACATGCCCAAATAACGAACGGGGGGTGGGGGGACAGGAGAAAATAATCTCATGGTCAGAGKGGACCACAAGTGAAAGGTGGAGCAGTGACTAAGCCCTGTTGGGGAACCCCGGGGCTGGACCTCATCCTTGATTTGCTATGTGGTCCTGGGTAAGTTGCTTTGTCTGTTTAGGTCTTTAGATTTATAATAAAACAGGAAAAAGCCGACTTCAGTTAGGGTTAGTGGACAGCAACCACTAGACAGAAAGCGTGGGCTCTCTAGAGCCTGGGTGGCCCCTGGGGCCACTCTAAGCTGGCTCGGGGAGTCGGGGAGCCAGGCACAGGCAGGGTCCAGGGAAGCTGCCCAGCGCCGAGTGGCTGTGGGGAGACCAGGACAAGAAGGCAGAGAAATACTGCAGTGAGAGGAACAGGTGTCTGAGGCTTGGGAGAGGCTCCAAATCTCTCGTCCCTGCCCCTAGGAACAGGCAGGTGCCCTTGGGACACCTCTTGGGGACTTCCTCACGGTTGGGACTGAAGACGAGGTTGTGGAATGCAGGATGCAGGGAGCCTGACCAACTGCAGGCACTGGGTCTGGGACCCGTTGACTGGCTGTGGCCAGCAGATGCCAGGCTGGGCTGCTGACACCCCCCACCAGTTCTGATCTGTGGGATGGGCTAAAAACGTCTCCTGACCCGGTCCCAGGATGCTTGTGGGGCCTGAAGACGTCCCAAGGTCACTGCTGGGTACTTGGGGTGGGCAGTGCTCCTGAGAGCAGAGCTCCCCAGAAAAGACAGGAAAACAGCGGAGGAGAGGAGCTCGGCAAGGTCCCAGGGGAGAATGTCGGAGGACAAAGGTCCCCTCACAGCAGGCACATCCTGACAGCCCTGTCCCAGGCAGCACAAACAGGCAGAAAGGGTGGCCCGCAGCTGGCCCACCTCGCCCACACCGGCCACTTCCAGAAAGGTGGGGAAAGGGCAGACCAGGGAGCCCTGTCTGCAGCTCGACCCCCGCGGTGTCCTCACGTTCAACTCTCCCTGCCGCTGGGCCCCGGAGCTGAGCTCACGCAGCTGGGAAAGGATGGCCATTCYGAGGGAGTCCACTGTGTTCTCCGTCTTGGAAAACGGAGAGCAATGAAACCAGAGACCCGCGGTCGGCTTTTGGTTTTGAGGCTCTTGGAATTTCAGCCTGGAGTGGAACGTGGATTTCAACTCCACTTTGATTTCAAGGAAGTTTTTTAGATGAGGTCATCAGCACCGAGTATGGACTTACACCTCTGGGCACACCTGGTAACAGGCCACCCCYGGTGGCAGAGAAGCAGTCAGTGCGCTCATCTCAGCAGGTGGGCAGATACCTGCGAGCCAGGTGTCTCTGGGTGTCTGGCTCACTGGAGCACACAGATCTCAGGCTGCTGGTGGCCATCAGTTGGAAGGTGAAGACATTCAAGGATTAAYGTAAAGCAAACTTAATGACGTCGCTGCTTCCACCTGCCTCGGGCCTTAGCGCTATTCCTTCTTACTCCTGCCTCTGTGTAGACGCGCGGGCTTTCCACCCTTGAACGTGGGGAGGAAGGCAGACACACAGTGTCTGGGAAACCTCAGCCTGGAGGGGAGGGACTTATTCTGTGGCCTACGTGTGCACATTTGGGATGCACATGGGGGACAGGACAGGAACCATGGGAATGCAGCCCACGCCCACCGATGGGTGCATGTACAGAGCCCCCTTTGCTGAGCAGCTCTGGGTAGCRACTGAGCAGCACTGGCTAGACGGAGCTGTGCTGGGCACCCTGGAGGCTTTTCCTATCATCCTGCCTGTCCTGCACCATCAAGTCCCTGGCCCCAGAGCTGCTGCCCGTCCAYAGTCCTCCAAGCCCAGTGAAGACAGTGAGTGCAAGAAAGGCTCGCTGGTCTGGCCCGAGCCCACCCTCMTGTTTCAGGACTGTGAATCCCGAACAACAGGGCTGAGCGTCCTCTCTGGACGTGGGGAACCTCACCTGGTCCGGGAGACAGATGTTTGCTGGGTGGGGATAAGCAAGTGGTCCCTGAGCTGAAACGCCAGCCAGGGGCCACTCCCTCAGGCTCCACTTCTCATCCACACCCAGTCCCCATCAAGCCGTGTGGGTCCACACTCCCAACACCTTGGTCTGTTCATCATCSTGCACTGGCTGCCTGGAGTCCCCACCAGGATGTCCGCGCCCAGCCAGCCCTCCTGTGCCACCTGCCTGTCTCTGAGGCCCTCCCTAGCTGCTGCCCAGCTGGTGAGTGAGTAGGTCATCGTCCTCTCTGGGCCTCAGTGTCCTGGTATGGTAACAGCACCTACCCCACACATTTGTTGTGAGTTAAACAAGCCAAGACACAGCGCTGGCCCAGCACTACAGAATTGTCCTTTGTCACTGTCCCGGGAAATGGGTAACATTCCATCTGTACTCCTCAGGCTCCGGAAGGGCAGAGCCCTCCCCATCTCACTCTGTGGTGCCCAGGGGCCTGTGCAGCCGGCACAGCTCTGTTCAAAAGCTGACCCCAGCTTCTAAGGTGAGCCTGCTGACACGGAGCAGCTCTCCACCAGCACTCCCGGCTGGGCACTCCCTGCTGCTGTCTGCAAGCCCTCCCTCACCTGGTGCCCAGGGTTGGGTCTCCCACAGTGCAAGGTCTGACCAAAGCCCAGGTCTGGCCTTCCTGGGAAGACTCCTGACATTGCGCATGACCTGCCCTACACCTCGCACAGGGCCCTCCCCAAGCTCTCCAGCCCCCAGGCTAGAGGGACAGGCCAGGACAACCCCCATCTCCGCRGCGGCTAGGTCCTGGGCAATGTCTGGGAGGAGCCTTGAAGGGGGCTGCGSAGGGCGGGAGGGGAGGGGGATTCTGCTCTTAAGTCCCAGCAAGCTGCCTCGAGCGCCCCCGCCCCCACCCTGCCGGTCACAGCCCTCTCCTGGCAAACTTYTGTCCTTTAAGTCAAACTCCTCTTGGGCGAATTCTGCCCCCAGGGGATCTATGTGAACTGCTGGGTCCAACCCTGGGGAGTGTAATGGTGCTAGAGAGGAGCTCGACAAGGGGGTCCCCAAACACGTGACCTGCTTCTCGCCAGCGCCCTGACTCCTGCCTCYGCCGGACGGCTCACAGAAAACAATCTCGTGCCTGCCGGCTGCCGTGGACATTGAGAGTTCCCGTGMGGGGCTCAGCGTCCTGGGCAGGACGCGTCCTGGCAGGTGGGGCCGCCGGTGGCGCCTGGCGGCTGCCAACCCGGCCTCCRCCCTTGTCCCCTAACGCCACCCCCCGCTGCCCCCAACGGCACCCTGGCCCAGGCCTGGAGGGGAGGGTCCCAGCACCTGCCCGGGGCCATGCGCTCAGGGTCGGGGCTGCGAGCCGGGACGCGGCCCCTGGGCGCTGGGTTTCCGGGGGTGGGCGCTGCGCCCGTGAAGGGCGCACTGGGCCGGGCCAGGGCGCTTTCCGGCCGGCGCACGTGCGCAGGTGGGCGCCCCCCCGCGCGGCACCGAGAGGGCGTCCAGGAGCCACGCAAGGCCCCGCCGCCGCCCGGCCGCCGCCCTGGRCGCGCGGCGCAGGTGCGCGGCCCGCCCCGCCCGGTCGCGGCCGCCTGCACTCACCGTGCCCTCGGACGGCAGGTAGCCGATGTCTTCGATGGCGCAGATGTTGATGATGTGGACGCTGCGGTCCTCGGCCGGGAGCGTCGAGTACTTCTCGTTGACCCTCATCGTGGCCGCCTGTTCGCTGGGACCGCCGGGCGGCGCGCCCTCCCCATCCACGGCCCCGGCGGCCTCTGCAAGGGAGACGGCAGCGTTCGCGGCGCGCTCGCAGGGGGCCGGCCTTCCCGCGCTCCGGCCGCAGGGGACGTGGCCGCCTCCCGCTCCGCCCGCCGCCCGCCCGCCCGGGCCGCGCACCGTGCGGGGCGCGCCCGACCCTCCCCCGGGCCGACCGCGCCGCCACCTGGCTGCTGGTGCCGAGGCCGCCCGCGCCTGGTCGGGAACTTGGACGCCCGCCTGACTCCTTTCCTTAAAGATATAAGCGCACTCCGCCCGCTCAGGGCAGGGGCGGCGGCCACGCGGGTCAGATTTTCCGTAGAAATTTAAACACAGGAAGAAGGTATTCCATTCCTGCGGGCCCCTCCAAGTTTTATTTTTATCCGGGGTAAGTGCCCCTTTGGATTTTCTTTTCTTTTTTCTTTTTTTGAGGGTGGAAAGGGTTTTCAGACCAGCGGGGAACTTCTGTAGCCCTACATTAAATGCAAGTCCCTGCGGGGGCCAGCTGCAAACGCTGGGCAGGGGAGACAGTTCTGAGACTGAGGCCGGGGACACCTCCCTGCCCCTTGCTCTCCACCCCTGGCAAACGCCTGCCAGCTGTGGCTTTTCACCTCCACCACACACACCTTCACCGGCTTCTTCCCACCACCATCCTCTCTGCCCCAGTGGTACCTGTGACCCCTGCCCCCTGTCCACTGCAGTACCTGGGACCCCTGCCCCCTGTCCCCGTCAGTACCTGTGACCCCTGATGGAGCTCTTAGTATTCTGAGACCAGGCTCATGCAGTCCCTTCCATAACTTGAAAGTGTCACCTTCTCATCAAACCCAGTCTGCYAAGGCAGGGTGCCACCCCCACTGCAGAGGGGACTTGGGCACGCAGGCCAGGGAGGGGACCCTGACCCTCTGGGGCCACCAGGGCTGCTGCCGGCTGCTTCTTGCTTGCGTGGGGCTCTACTGCCTCCCTGAGGAAGAGACCGAGGCTTGGGCCTCTCTCACCCGGGACCCAGCCGGCCCTGCAGGTGTCCCAGCCTCCCTCCCTGCACCGGGAGGAGCAGGCCCACCCACAGCAGCCAGGCTGCGGCCGAGCCCAGGCCCACACTGGCTTGGTGTGCTCAGATATCTCCTCCCGTGGGCTGTCGTCCCCCCCCACAGCGGTCAGGCCTCGCCGTCTCACTGCCCAGAGAAGCCACCTGCTCCGGGCCTGCAGTACTTCCTGACTCCATCTTGTCTTCCCACAGCTCACGGTCAACCAGTGCTTGTCGAGTGGCCACAAAGGAATGTGTGTGGCCCCCAGAAGTGATTGTAAAGTTGCCTTCCAAGGCCTTGAGTGCTCGGGCCCAGGTTCCCAGGGTAGAATCTAGGTGGATGGGGTGGGGTGGGGCGATGGGTGGGGTCTGGCCTTGCAGGAGCTTCCTGCCCCCGACATGAGCACCAGCTGCAGAACTGCAGCCCCGCACGCAGCCTGCTTTCCGAGGCGGGTGCTGCTACAGCTCTCACCACGTCACCAACTGCCTGCTCCTGTCTCTGAGGCTCTGGTTCAGACCCAGTTTGTAAATTCCTTGCACTTGGAGAGGCGCAAGAAGGCCTCTTGGTCCTCAGGCTGGCCAGGCCAGGGTGCCGCATGGCCCTGAAGGGCCCTTTGCCTGCATCTTGGACAGCAGGACAACCGGTTTGGAGAGTGCCCCCGAGCTGGCCAGATCCTATGGGAAGCAGTCCTCTGTGGCCCTGGCCACGCCAGGGAGACTGGCCTGTGCAGTTGGAGTTTTCAGGGCAAGAGAGAATCAATCTCTCTCTCTCTCTCTCTCTCTCTCTCTCTCTCTCTCTCTCTCACACACACACACACACAGGATTATGTAACTGCGTCCTCCTCCCCTGGTTGGGGAACAACCAATATTGTATAACTCTACTGTACTGTTGATCTCTTATGTTCAGGTGAAAAAAACTCAGAAATCCATGAGGAGTCATTTTTGAAAAAAGAATAAAAATACAATTGGCCAGAGCTGGGGGTGACATGCAGTGGTCATTGCTTGTCTAGCATGTGCGAGGCCTGGGTTCTGTCCCCACACTGCAAACCCAAACAACGAGTGTGAGTGTGAGTGTGCAGTATCTATTTTGTATATGTGTGCACCTGGCCAGCCCTGGCTGCATTCGTTGCCCCAGTGTTTTGAAAGAGACCCTGGACTGCCGGCCCTGGGAGGACTCTGGGGCCGGAGTGGCCCTCATGGGGGCTGCCAGCTGGGAGCCAGTCCCTCGGGCACGGCTGCCCCTCCCCAGCCTGTGCCCCCGGCTTGGCCGGGAAGCCGTGGCCTCTCGTTGCCACCGTCCCACATCTGCTYGCTGGACCACACCCGTCCGCCTCCAGCCTGTCCCTTCCCCATCCTCTCCCTGCCCTCACTTCCTCGCCCCCAGGTGGGCAGGGTGGTGATCTCCAGCAAATGCAGAGGAAATGCGGAGGCCTCTGCCTGGCAAGGCCAGAAAGAACCAGTTCTCACCCCAGGCCACCTGTGACCCTGGCCTGGATTCTTGGGGACCAATAAAAGGTCGAAGAATAGCTCCCAAATCAGGAGGGGAGAGGAGGGTCCCTCCAAGTCCGGCGCCTCTGCTTGTGTGGTTTCTGGGGCCSCTTCTGTTCGGAGCTGGGTCTCGGGAGGGGCTGCCTGCAGCTTGCTGGGTTTCTCCTCTCTCTGGCCGCTGGCTGCCTGCGGTGGGCCTGCTGCCTTTTCTGCTTCCAGACCCAGGTATTCCACCACCCAAGTCCAAAGGGACGCTCACCAACTAGTTAAAAAAACAACAGTCTGATTTGTCAAGGGACGTTCTGGCTCTCACACTCCACCGTTTTGCCATGTTGCCCTTTGGTGGCATTTGGTTCCATGCACCAAATGACACCTGTCTTTGCTGGCATTTTAATAGCCCTTGTGGGGCAGGCGGGAARTGACACGGAATGCAGGAGCCGAGACTGACAGAGCCGCCCCAGAGAGCCCTCGTTGGCGGGGACCTGGAGGAAGGAGCCCTCCTCTGCCCTGCAGAGGCACGCAGCTGAGCRCTCCCTGGCCGCAGCCACTCGGGGAAGTTGGAGAAATCGAGCTGGAAGGACCCTGTGTCTATGGGGTGCAGGGCTGTGGGGAAGGCCACGGACCTCAGCAAGAACAGCTCCTGGGGCCCCATCACGAGGCCACGGCTGGCTGCCGGGTCTTCTTGGGTACAGTGGCAGGTGAAGTCCTCGATTCTGGGTGCCTGTCAGGCCCTGGCCATGGCGAGCCCCAGATCAGGGAAGTGCCAGTGGAGATCTCTTCTACTGTGGTGCTGTGGCCTCGGCAGCTCTGACCCTGGGGGCGGCCAGTGGAGGGCATTCAGGGCCACCGCCCCCACACTAGATGCCAGCAGGACCTTCCCCCCAGCCCCAGGGTAGGAAGGACCCCAGACATTGTCGAATGTTCCCGGGMGGCACCGCCCCAGCTGAGGCCTGCTGCTCCAACAGATCTCCTGGCCGTGGGCTCTCGCAAGACCTTAGGCCCAGCCTGTCCCGGCTGCCCCGGGCGGTGGAGGCTGGGTCCCGCCGTGGCCAGGGGCAGACGTGGGGAGCCTGGCTGCTGCCTCTGCAGGGGGCAGCTCCTGCACAGACCTGTCCTCAGAGGGGCTCAAGAGCTGCCAGACTCACAGCAGCCTGAGGGCTGGGACCGCAGCAGCTCSGGAGGAGGGAGCTGCCCATGACTCAGGGCTGGAGGGAGCGCCAGCGGCCTTCCGCTCCCACGCTCTCCTGCTGGTGGCATCCCATGCAGGAGGGAGCCGTGCCAACAGGTGGATGACAGAAGGGGCTGAAAGCGCCCTAGGTGGAGATGATCCCCGGGGTGCCTGGAGTCGGCACTGAGACTCAGCGGCCGGACGCTGGGCCACTCTCCTTTCCTTCCCCGTGGGAGTCAGAGCAGAGGCTGCCCAGCTGCAGCTGGAYGGGAGGCTCCGTGGGCCCGGACGCCCCAGCCCAGCTCTGGAACACAGCCAAAGCCGCCAGTCCCGTCTGCCTGGGAGGGGGCTGCTTCCTCCGCAGACTCCATGGACTCCCGTAGGCCAAGGCCGCTCCCTGAGGTTCCTAGAGCTTTAGGGACACGCGCAGGGCAGGTGAGAGTCCAGCAGGCCCCTCCTCCTCAGGGAGCCTCGGTGGGACTCAGGCCCACTGCCCCCGGCTCTGCCAGCCCCGGTCCTGGCTCCAGCGGGCACCTGGTGCCATCTGCCCGGGCCATCTTTCTGCTTCGTTTCTGACTCTTAGCCCCCTTCCCAGCCTTGGCCCCGGGTACATTTTCTGTTTGTTTATTTATTTCACAAGCAGCTGAACAGAGAGGATCCTCAGCCAGCGCTGTGCTAAGCTCTTTGCAAATATTAACAGTCGCGAGGCGGTGAGCACGGCCTGGGGGACGGCCACACATGTGGCCCTCTGGGGCCTTCCTGTGGWGGGGGGATGAGAGGTTCCCAGGTCCACAGCGTCACCTCCTCTGCCTGCAGCAGGGGGAACCACCCGCCCTTCTCACGCTACGGCCCCGGGGAACTGTCCCCAGGACTTGGGAGAACAGAACGACTGCTGCTCGCCTGCCATTCGCCTGCTGTCCCCTCCACCACTCCCTCCAGGAGAGCCAGGGTCTCCCGCCACACACGCGGGCCCCTTCATCTGGGTGGACACCTCCCTGGAGAGGCCGTGCCTACCTGCTGCTGAGCCTGCCCGCCCTGGCTGAGGACCGCTCGCTGCCAGGGCATGGCCCTGGCCCTCAGGGGCTGAGGGTGCCCCAGGCTCAAGGCCGTGAGCTGGGACAGGGCTCAGGACTCAGTTGAGAGCATGTGAAGACGTGAGAGCCGTTGTCACCCACGCTACCTCCCTGCTCCCTCSGGGGGCTGAGTGTCCCTGCCCTGCTCTGCCTCTTGGGCACGTGGCCAGGAAGCCCTCAGCTTCCCTAAAGACCATCTCCACGGCCAACACCACAGGTGCCACCTTGCCAGTCTCACTCCAGAGCGMAATCTCCCAGACACGTGACCTCGTCGGCCTCCCTCGTCAGCTCCCTGGTGGGACTGGCAGGCTTGTACCCCAGGGGCATCCTGGAACTCTCTGGGGAGCGAGACTAGACCCCCAGGTGGCCGCGGGGCCACGCAGGGTCTTTCCATCACACGCACATTCACGTCCCTGTGGCTTGGCCATGTGCCTCTGTGGTCTCAGGGGGCCCTGCCAGGTCTGGGGGTCTCTGTCCTGCAGCCAGGCTGCTCTCAGGGG